CAAAGTATAATTTCCCTATATTTATCCTATATAAACACTCTAGATGAATTGAGAACTTCCTAATTATATAATAGATTATATACATAAATATGTACGTTATGGACGAATCAAATGATATTTTTGTTCTAGTTTTTGCTCCCGCTCAATAAAGTCAATCAACTTTGAAAAAGATCAAAGTTCGAAGTTCGAATTCTGTCAAAATATAAAAAGTACATTTCACTTTAAAAGAAAAAATCGTACCCTCACTACTTTGGAGATCCTTTCTTTTAGTTAATTTCTCTGTAAACTAAAAATATACCTACATCAAGTTAAATAATGACTTTGTATCCTATTCTTGTATCACCTTTTAAGATTTATGATTTTGCTTCAACATGACAGAAAGTTTTCAGCGTTAAGTACGCACAGCATATTCTTAAGTATATCCAACAACACCAAAGATCATGTAGACTCATAGAAATATCATTTGTAACCATCGTCCTTTACGTTAATGAATATGTCTGATTGTAGAATCTTTAGAGTTGTTCTATTGGATACTCCGCTATTTACGTTAATAAATATGTTTTTACTATTTATTTGATTGAATAACACGAGTTTTACTCTGAATTTAAAATACATTAAAAACACCAATTCAATAACATCCCTTAACATTACGGTTGAAGGACTTGCATGGTAAGTAATTAACAGTAAGAATAATCACTTCACAATGATAATGCATTGTTCCAAAGTACATATTGATAATTAGATCACGCTAGTGACCATTACATTTCGATTAGGGGTTTCTGTTAATGTTATACGGACTCAAACCCATCATTATGCATTTTGTAAAAAAAACAAAGAAAAACCACTCACTTTGTAATTTTTTTTTTAAATAGTACTTTATTTATCATTTGTTTCCGTCCCTTCCCCCAAAAGAGACATCATTTCTGAGATACATTTATAATCCTAAAGGTAAATAGTGCCGGCCCTGAATATTGTTGGGCCCCAAGCATAGTTTTTTAATTTCTCATTAAGTTAAAAAAATTAAAAACAAGAACAATCCTTCAACAGCATCGAACTCGAGACCTGGAAGTTGTGTGCGGTACCAGTAAAGCTACAAGCATTTTCGTTGAATATAGTAGCCCGTAAACATAATAAATACTACACCGGCCCCAAGCTCATGCTTCACCAGCTTGTAGTCAGGGCTGGCTCTAGCTATAAGTTGTAAACAAGACAACAATTTAAACAGCATTACATACGTCTTATATATAAAAACAGAGCAGAAGAGAGCAAGGGTTGTGAATCACTTCCAAGACAATTGATACTGAAGCTTTGACTTAGCTTCGGGAGCACATATCATTATGGAGCTGGATCATTGGAGAACTGAAAGTATCCAAACCAGAAGGAGAGATACGACAAGGTTGCCGTATTTGTGGTATTTGTCAACAAAGACTGGAAAGAACGACTTTTGCTGTCCAACCCTGCCAGCCTTTGCGTTAGTAAGGTTTGAATGTCTTTAATTACACGATCTGAAAGCTTGGAAACAGAATTGTGTAATCTCGTATTTCTCTCTCTCCATAACTCATACACAGTGGCTTGCAACAGCAACTTACAAATCACATTAATCTTGTTGTTAGTAGAAGCATTTCTCACCCACACCACAATCGCTTGAAACGAAGTTGGCGGATTTAATCTTGAATGAGAGAAGAAGTCCGACTAAAACTGTGATGCATACTGACATTGAAAGAACATGTGTTGTCGAGATTCTTGGTCTGATTGGCATAGCAAGCAAACATCCGGGACTTGAAGACCCCATCTTCTCAATTTGTCACGCGTTGGAAATCTATACCGCATAACAATCCATTGAATGAAAGAGTGTTTTGGTATACTCAGCGAAAACTAGACCATCTTTTCCACGGCACACGAATTCGAGGAGGATTTAGTGAAGTCCAAGTCTTAGAAGCTGAGAATTCAGACGGTGTACCGAGCAGAGAGTTCCTCCATTTAAACACACATCTGGTGTAGCTAAGTCTAGCGATAAATTTGTAGGCAAAGCATCCCTTAGCAACACCGTAATCGGATGTCTACCTCTTGGAAGGAGCCAAACACCATTTCTCATTGCTTGAGAGACCATAGCTAACCGAGGAATTCCAGTAACACGAGGTCCATTTGATCCAGTTAAATCAATCAATGGTCCTAGATCCGTCCAATCGTCAAACCAAAATCTGGACGTGACTCCAGAGCCAACCACATAAACAAAAATGGTCTTGCCAAGCTTCTTAGTTTCAGGAGCTTTCTCCATATCCAACTTCCTGTTGCATCCGACCTGATTTCTCAAAAAAACGCGACCACTTATTAACATTTTTTAACCCAAGAAACCTGTAGTGATCCACTCTTAGTAAAGAGTAACCAGATGAGCTTAAGTCCAAACACTTGATAATTGATTGATGCCTACTCACTTGATAATTGATTGATACATTTAAAATTGAATTATATATGTATGAATCATGCTAAACTAGATGCATTTCCGAGCTGAAATGACATTCCATGCTGCATAGTGCATACATATAAACTACAAGAACAACGATATCTACCTTCTGCACTAATTTTAGTGGTCTATTTAAAATATATTTTTCTCTAGGAGTCTTACAACAGATTTTATTATGTAAGTGTAAACAAAACAATATAAATCTGCCCCCAT